GATCAATGTATACAAACCCAGAGTTACTGTAAGATCAATGTACAAACCCAAAGTTATATCTGTAATAATGATAAGTTTATTGTATGATCAACATTGTTTTCTGATTGTCTTCCAAATGAGGACAATGCTTTTATATAAACGTCAATTCGTAAATTTTGTGATGTCATAAATGTTTTACATATTTAATTTAAGATCTAAGATCCATGTACAAAACCCAGAGTTACTGTAAGATCAATGTACAAAACCCAGAGTTACTGTGAGATCAATCAACACGTAATATCAATATGAAAAATAAAAAAACAAAGAAAGTTGAAATTGTACAGTTTTGTGTCTACTTAAATATTGGTTTATATTAGGAAGTTTTTACAGTTTCTTGTTTAGTGAATAGTTGATATCGTACAGCTTCCTGTCTAATTAATACAGTTAGTATCATCTATTTTCCTGTATATTAAATATAGTCGATATCATGTTGATTGCTGACTGTTAATACAGTCAGTATCTTGAAATTCACAAAGATTCTAGTCTAGTTAACACGAATGATATCATATTGATTCCTAATTATTAATACAGTTTATATTAGCACCTTCGTCACGAGCTGTTGCTCCTGACATCTTTAAATTCACAAAGTTTCTTTTCTTGTTAATTCGGTTCATATCACGGAGTTTCCTGCCCATGCAGCTACTGGCGATGTTATGTAATTGAAATACTAATTAAAACATATAAGCCTGTCCACCAGTGGCTTAGCAGTAAGATTGAGGGCTTACAACGCCAATATTCGGGGTTCTATCCCTATGGTGGTCAAAGCTTAAGTTCTTTACTGTGTAACTCAATTTAAAACCAAAAATCTATAATTATAAATTGTTAATCATTAACAATTCCGAACACAAAATTCTAATACACTGAACACCTACATAGCGATATGTTCAAGACGTACTTCTGGAAGTTGGATCAACCGTTTTCAAGCAGATTATACAAGAGGGAGGCCACTTTTATGTCTGCGGCGATGTAAGTATGGCAGAAGAAGTCAGTCAAACCCTCAAAACTATCATCCAAGATTGTGGCGCCATCTCTCCGCATCAAGCAGAAACGTTAATGGTGGCCCTTCGGGTAAGTTTAAATTCCATATTAGTTTCAACATATGTTTACGTTTGCATATCAGTTATATTAATTATTTTCACTGCTCTTTAAGTGGTTTTTCCTACCTTGGTATGTATAAATTATTCAAAAATACGATATGTTGTTTGGGCCTTTTTTTTCAAATATTGAAAAACAATGCATGTTTACTGCCCGAATGTTATGCTTAATTTGGTTTTGCTTTTTGTGCTTAATTTTGACAAACATTTTTAGCTTTTATTTTTCGAATTAAATCCTGTGATATTGTGGCAATTTTGGGGTCTTCATGAAATTACCCGCTTTTAAAAAATCTACAGCCTTTAAAGAATTTCTTAATTAGTAAGTAGTATCACAGACGAAACGTTTAAAATATATCAAGCTGTCTCAAAACCTCAAGAAGTAATTTTTATCATGTATCTGTCTATCTCTTTTGTTGTTTTTCTGTTTCAACTGCGTTTCTTTTAACATTGTTATGTTTGTTTGTTATGAATTTCGCGCAAAGCTACACGAGGGCTATCTGCGCT